GCCGGGACAATTTTAAGTAACCGTACGTGGCTTTATACCTGCGGAGAAACAACTATTTTTCTTGTAACAGGTACCAAAGACTTTGGGCGATCAAGTCATTAATAAGAGTACACGTTTTAGATATCTTGGATCAATTGTTCAAAGTGATGGTGAAATAGATGGGGATATTATCAGCAGAATTCAAGTTGGATGGTTGAAGTGGAGGAATGCATCGGGCTTGTTATGTGATAGAAATGTACCCCTCAAACTTAAGGGAAAATTCTATAAGATGGTAGTGAGGCCTGCAATGCTTTATGGTGCCGAATGTTGGCCATTAAAAGAGAAGCATAATACTAAGTTAAGTGTGGCAGAGATGAGAATGCTCAGGTGGATGAGTGGCTTTACCCTTAGAGATAGGATACGAAATGAGCATATACGTGAAAAGGTTGGAGTAGCTCCAGTAGAAGATAAAATTAGAGAGAGTCGCCTTAGATGGTTTGGTCACATAAAACGACGGCCTTTCGATGACCCGGTTAAGAGAGTAGAGGTATTAGATTTGACTTATGTTAAGAAAGGTAGGGGTAGACCTAAAAAGACTTGGTTAGAAAATATTAGGAATGACCTTTCTTTATTAGGTTTAAATGAGAATTTGACTTTTAATAGAACACAATGGAGAAAAAGGATTCATGTAGCCGACCCCACGTAGTGGGATAAAGGCTTGATGTTGTTGTTGTTGTTGTAGGTACCAAAGACTTGTGCGCGCCTTTCTATGGCGTAGTGGGGTTAAAGATTTTACGGCCGCGATGTCCTCATCCAAGGGCACCTACCATGCATACTTTTCTCTAGTGTGGCGGGAGGCCCAATTTTCAGTTGTTTTCCCCTAAACGGGAAAGACAACGGGAGGTTGCCGAAAATTCATAAAGAACAAGAACCTGGACTCATAAGAACAGTGGACTTGAACCTGAACAAAATTTAAATGACGAATTAAATGTCAAATCCAAATAAAATAAGATCAAACTGGAGCTAAATTCAAATCAATTTGAATATATAATTAAACCTGCAAAGTCTTAAAAAAATCCTGAACAAGCACTTGAACTTGTACTTAGAACTCGAACTGTGCAACATCAGGGGACTTGAACAAGACTAGAACATCAAACAAAGACTTCGATTTGGACTTGATCTGAACTTGAACAAGCATTTACACCTGAACTAAACAAAACAATAAGCAGACTTACAGAAGTCCTAAACTTGAATCAAATAACGTGATCTTGCTATCAAAGCCAGTCAACTTGCAAGTATAGTGGTCCACCAAAGAAAGGCAACATCGATGAGTTGTAAATACGATGGACTCTCTACAAACATGAGTAAGGAACATGCAACGAGTGTATTAACCCCACATAATCAATCTCAAATGGAAAGCAAGTGCAACAATCCGTCAATCATCATGTAAAAGGGAGATGACGACAAATACAACCGCTCGCAGTCGAGATCAACACATAAACAAATGAACATAGTGAGCTTGCCTATAATTGGTGATCCTCCCCTTGTAAGCATATGCACAAGCATACAATGAGTGTTAAATAAAGTATACATACAATGTGCTACAACACAAGGGGAAAGCAAATACATCGAACCCACCTGAGATTGGTGAAAGGGTGGATATGATGTAGGAACAATGATTCTTCTATGAATATTTCTAGTAGGTCATATTGAATACAACAATCCCCCGTAAATACACACGAGCCGCTTATGGATAACAACAATGGGTATATTGTAAGTATAACGAACCTTTGTGGACACAAGTACAGAGATCACCTACGATAACGGTGATTGAGATCTGTAAGTACATCGGGTATAAGGGCAACTCAGTATATGGAGAAGGACACACCCCCTGGTAGAAGGAAAGAGATGTTTGAACAAATTAGACCTAAACTTTCTGGTGTTCTAAAGTTTCTTCTTGGTCCTGTACTTAAGAAGAAAACAGTGCTTGCATCCACAAATATCGGAAATAACAAGTTTATTACACTAAAGATCCTGAAAGGGATTCTTCTCAAGGCAGTGTCACAAATTTCAAGGAAACCTCCCCAGTGAATGAGAAAAAAGGGAGTTAACATCGGGACAATGAGGTGTCTCATGACATCCAGATATACCGCTACTGAATCCACAACACTTGTATTAGCGGACAGAAGGCGTATATGAGCTCTCAAATGACATAGTATGTATTCAAATGGCAATTATTTGCATAACTAAAATATTTCAAAGTATCCCTGCATGTGCATAATATTTTGTATATACGTAGGTACACTAAAGGGGTAAATGCAATCATATGACCTGCATGGGCCCTGGCGAGCGTGTCTTTGGTATACACGTAACGTCTTGGGATGCTGCGCGGGTCAATAAATCTGAACTCGATCCTCCTAAACAGGCAAATAGGAGTCAACAAGGTTCAACAATCAATTATAAAATGCCCCCAAACACCCACATGCGCCCTAGCGAGCGTATTATTGATACATATGTGACGCCTAGGGATGTTACGTGGGTCAATAAGTGAATTCAAGTTTGAACCTTATCCTTCTAAGCAAATAAATAAGAGTCGACAGGGTTCAAACCATAAAACAAATATACGGTTTTGGCAACCGATTTATTTATTTTATTACATTCATATTAGGCCTTCAAGGCCTATAATCAAGATAATTCAATTATAAAAGCATAAAGCCTACGAAACCCGATCCTCCTAAGCAGATAAATGGGAGTATACAAAGTTTGAACCTTCAAACAAATACACGGTGTTAGCGACCAGTATATTTTTTTTAATACATTCATATTAGGCCTTCAAGGCCTATAATCAAGAGAATTTATTAACAAAGCATGAAGCTTACGAAACCCGATCCTCCTAAGCAGGTAAATAGGAGTAGACAGGGTTCAAACTATCGGATAAATATGCTGTCACGAAGTTGATCGGAAAATTTTTTTTATACATTCATATTAGACATTCAAGTCCTTTAACAAAGAAAATTCACAAATAAAGGCATGAAGCCCGAGAAACCCGATCCTCTGTTGACAACTCAACAAAGTTGACAATGTTCAATCAACAAATGGAAATGATCACAAACACCCCGATGATGGGCGTGTTGAATGTTTATCTCAACCGAAGGGGTTCACAAATACTTTCAAATTCCTTCCCAAATACCCACAAAGTTCAAAATCGAAACTCCAAGAGAAATCGCAATTCCAAATATTTAAAATGAAAATTCAACTATTCAAATACTTAAAGCAAAATCCATCCACCATCTGCAATAATTTGCCGAGGTGGACAAATTTGAATATAACTTCAGCTCACATAGAGCTAAATGCCTAGTCGAAAATATCACTATGATCCATTCTTAAACAATCTCCTGCCAATAAGGACGTGATATGTGTCTTCTAACCGGCGGTTTTGTTGCCAAATGACACCACAGGATAAATAGTTATGACCCGGGGCCCTCTGAACCGAGTGGTTTTGCCGCCAAATGGCATCACGAAATACCGGTTATGGCCAAAGCCAATACGTTCCTTAGTGACATCAAATCCTTGAGATATGAATCAATAGGATATGATCGATAGGGCACAAAACCCTCTATTAGCTAAGGTGGATTCAAATTTTGCCCCCTTAGACAAACACTCAACCCAGGTCTACAAGGTCCCCTTGGACGAAGCAACCCATGCCTACCGACAAGGATCCCTCTGTCAGGTTGGGTCGACTACCTCTTCTGACTAAATAGATCAGTGACCACAATGACCCGGGACGACGGAACCATGGGATCTTGACAGGGTCTATCATCCATTCCCCCACCATCCGCTTTAAGTGCAAGATGGTGAAAATTTCTATTTTAAATATCAAATTCTCAAATCATTTTAAATATCTATGCTGCTAATATATGCCAGATAACACGTATTATCTACGTATCTGATTGATGACTAGCCTTCTCGAAAGTTCTCTCTCGTGATCGGGAGGGGTAATTAACTATAGGGGCTTGTGCCTATAGGAAACCAGAACTCAGATCATAAAGTCCTCATAAAATGAGGGCGAAATCTCTGGGTAGTGTCTTACTTACAAACTCATTTGCCTTCCCAAAATTTACCCCGTAACTTAATTTTGTTAAAACTCCCTCGCCAAAAAAGCAATCAAACGCGAGCGGAGGTCAGGGCAGAATTTTCGGAGCCCACAAAAAGTCTCCCTCAAACTTAAGAGAAAATTCTATAAGATGGTGGTGAGACTTGCAATGCTTTATGGTGCCGAATGTTGGCCATTAAAAGGGGAGCATAATACTAAGTTAAGTGTTGCAGAGATGAGTGGCTTGAGCCTTAGAAATAGGATACGAAATGAGCATATACGTGAAAAGGTTGGAGTAGCTCCAGTGGAAGATAATATTAGAGAGAGTCGCCTTAGATGGTTTGGTCACATTAAACGAAGGCCTTCCAATGACCTGGTTAGGAAAGTTGAGGTATTAGATTCGACTTATGTTAAGAAAGGTAGAGGTGGACCTAAAAAGACTTGGTTAGAAAATATTAGAAATAATCTTTCTTTATTAGATTTAAATAAGAATTTGACTTTTAACCGGACACAATGGTGAAAAAGGATTCATGTAGCCGACCCCACATAGTGGGCAAAGGCTTGATGTTGTTGTTGTATGTTATTGAAGTCTCTATATTTAGTTTTCACACCTATAAATAGGTAATGTCATAATGTTGTAAGCCAAGCTAAAAATTACTCAACAAAAAATAGTAATACATTTTTTAATCTATTATCCCATACAAAATCTCCATAACTCATTGCTTGCCTATCTACCTTTCTTCTAAAATATTTCCAACATCATGAATAATTAAATGTTGATAGACTTTCTCTAATGTTGTTGCTCAGTTCTTCAAGTTTACGCTTATTTGTGCCTTCGGATTTCAACTATAGCAGAAAATTAGAAATTGACCTTCGGTTGAATGTATCATTCTACTTGTTTATTTTAGGAGCGATGTACTAACCATACCTTGGCATGCAGAGTAGTTCGTGGAAATACCCAAGTGCAGCGGATTTGACACTCATTTTGCTACTTCCTAGGAGATGAATAAATGGATCAATTGGAGTAAACTGGGACAAAAATTTTCTGCAGTTTCCATTTAGTCGCATACACTTCATGAGAATGGTCGCCAAGGCTACACCTTCACTCATATTGTTATTCATCGCAACATTCACAAGTTTAGTGAGAACCTGAGGAGAACTAATAGCTGCTAAGTGCATATTATTCGTAACATAATCAAATGCTGTCACAAGAATTTCAATCATGGCTATAGCTGCTGTTGTAGGTGTGACGGATTGAGGCCTCATTTTCTGTTTTTCCCTGTTAGCGTTGCATGCAACTTCTACTAAATCTGGTAAAAGTTCTAAACTTCTAATCTCAGAAGGCGACGGACTGAGCAAATAGATAAGACTAGCCGCCTCATGCACATTTCTCTTTAATGCAGTTGCTAGATTATACAAATGAAAATTTTCTCTCTTAATATCATCTATAATTGTGTTGTCTACAGCAATGAGGCCCAATAAGATGGATACGCAAACTCTTATTTCACTTTCTCTCTTTGAACTTGACAGAATTTTAAAAAGTTGTTGGAGTATTTCATACTTTGCTGAACTGTATTTGAGCTCAGGATTATTATGCAGCATTTCCCACATGGTGCTCTCCCAATTAACATCTTCACAATTCCTTGAACCATCTGAGGTGCATAAAACTGAAATGACGTTTTCAAATCCTTGTAGAAGTTGAATGTGTCTAGAGTTCTCAAAATTTGAGCTATCTTCACTCCAGTCTTTCTGACGAATGGAAAATGTATGCTCTGGTGCAAAACTTCCATGACGAATCAATTCAGAAATGTCATATTTCTTTGGGAATTTTGATAAGAAACTGCTGATGCATCTGACATCACGCCTCGGTGAGGATCGAGGGAGCTTTTCTCCTCTATGATAGTCATAGTAAGAATTTGAATCAACGACTTTGGAATGCATGGGTGAAAAGTTCCGATCAGTCCGTAAACTATTAGTTCTGTATGATAATAAATGCGTAGCATTTGTTTCATTGTCTTCAACAGGTAAGCCACTAAAAGGACCTTTTGGCTCACAAGTCAGATTACAAATGAGAGCAGGGATTTTGGGCAAACAATTCCTACATCATATTCTTTATAGTAAGGAAACGATAAGAAATTATACACTGAAAAGAAGTTTTATTTCATGCTGTCTTTTAATATTTCATTAGCTTACCTTTCAGTAATATCAGAAGCTGAAAGATGTTCATTGTCCAAAATGCCATTTACTGGACTTCCCCTCTGTATATGTACCTGGTTCAGGAACTGGTAACAACATATAGTAAATTAACTTTTGAAGTTCAGAGCTTTGTTTTGCTCTCTTGAATTTTTCTTATCGATTTTGAAATGGGATTTTGGAAATTGTAACTAAGATTTTTTTTCTCATTGGCTTTTACGGTAGAAATGATATCATGCAATATGAACCTTGCATTTAAATTATGGTTGGCTTCCCCAATGGAATTTAGTTAGTATTATGAAAAAAAATGGTGGGTATTAGCAGCAAAAAAAACCTCATAAATATGCTGATTAGATTTTAGTTATACCTCTGAATCACTTGTTTCATCAAAATCTGAGCGGATGGAAACTGATGAATATGACTGTGACTCTAGCATCTCTTGTAGACGTTTTATATCCTTGATGTTTGTGTCAAAACATTCATCAGAATGTATGGAATTAGCTCTCCTGTTAGCAAATTTTGTAGAATCACGTTCCACTGAATTGGACACAGTTGCCATAATGTTCTTTCTCCCCATATCATTACTGGAATCTGATTGGTTGGCCTTATTAACCTGTATTTATTCGGCTCAACTTGTTTAGTTCATCCATAGAATAGGCTAAAATTACGCCTCTGAATAGAAGTTCTATGGTGCATTTTTTGGTACTATTAGACAATGAGAATGGAAATGTGATAAAACTAGAAAGAAGAATGTGAAAAGTTTAGATTGGAGAAATAGTGAACAAAGAGTCTATTAAATATAAGCCATTAAAAAATAGGGGATTTAAGCATGTATATTGATGAACAAAATATGTAGCAACAACCTGGATAGAATTAATGTGAAATTATTAGTAAGAAGGGTTTTGACTACTGGTAAAATGAAATTATGAATCCAACCAACAGTTGGATTACGGCTGTGATGATGATTAGTCTTGAAGTATAGCACGCAAGGTACTAAGGGATGATTAAATCAGCTTCGAAGTGAAACCATTCATGAAACGGATGCGTGAAAGCAAAAATACAAACAAGTAACATTATATAATACAGAATACTTATCGTAGGTGATGGCTAAATTCTTTTCAGGCAAAACTTTAAATGCTGTACAGAGTAACATTATTACCAATTTTAAAGTATGTAGACAACAAAAAAGATTTAGAGATGCTTACACCATTGAGGATTGCTAATGTAGGTTCTTGTTCATCTGATTCGATAAATCTGTTGCTGGAGAAGACTCTAAACCTGTGACGATATAGTGAAAGTTGAAATCGTTACTCTATGCATGAAACCAGTAATTTTGCTAGTCACAAAATAATGTACATTTAACGCTTCCTTCTCATGTTATTCAATATTATACAAAAAATTCTTTTTCTCATTATGCGAGCCATGTCATAAGTTTTACTATTATATTATTCTTAAAGATCTATAATTTAGCATTTCCACTGAATAAACTTGGCAAACCTTTTACTGGCTTGTTATTAGAATTGAATTAAGAGATGGTGTTACAGTTGTAAGTTAGGAATCTAACTTTTACTTTGCATTACTAGAGAGAGCCCAGAAAACAATTCAACTTTTCGAGTAAAAAGTTTGGAGGTCATCCTTCTTTCATTATTTTGTCCCCTCAAACTTTATTACCAAGAAAAAAGCTGATTGGTCACAGTGTGATCATTCCTATGTTTCCATCTGGCGCTCAATTATTCATTCCATCATTCATTTTCGTTTCAAACTAAAGTAGAAATTATCATTCGGAAATAATCATAATTTGCTTGTTCAAACTAAGCACTCACTGATTTTTTCTTGATTTACCATGGCAGATGACTTGGTAGAACATAAGACAGTCCTTGTACCTCCTGGCTTGTTGTCTTGCTGCTACTTCATCTACATTGGCTGCCGAAGACCCGAATAAGCTCGCATACAATTCAGGTGCAAATTCTGTTCCTACAAAGCTGGGCGACACCAAGACAGCTTGAAGGAAATGCATGGCCATCTGCCACTCGTCACTCCAGAGCTTTCTGATAAATGCCAAGTGGAAGAAGGAGCAGCAGACTATGAATTTGTTATTAATTCCTGCAGTGACTGAATCCTCATCAAGTATTGCTGGAACCTGCAACATCTTCTCAGAGTTAGCAAGGAGCATATTTTGCTCGCTTGCCGAGGTTGAATTGATTGCTGATTCAATGGTCTCGATGCCCCAATACAGGTTTGAGAGGATCGAATGGTCAAAGAATTCAAAGAATCTGCTGTTAGGAATTGTAAGTTTGGAAGCGCAGTGGAGCTGGAGGGAGCGGCGGGTGGCTGGGCATGACAGAAGCCCACGAAAGTTATGGTCGACTGTAGAGATGATGGCCGCAACGGATTCTGGGTAGGATGTAAGAGGAGCCATTGCTATGGTCGGTGACTGTTGTGGTTTCAAGAGATATAATTGGGCGGATGATAATGGCAGGAGAGGAAATGAGTTTAAGCGATGGAAAATTAGCAATTGTGGAGGGATTGCTCGTGACTAGCTTAGGACAAAAATCCAAGGCTGGCTGGGCCTGAAAACCAACGTAGAGAAGGTAGTGGGTGGAAATGTGACCGTTGTTTGTTAGTGAGATTTTCCCTCTGTTTTGGGTTGTTGTCGGAGTCTTCTCTTCGTGCATCTACTTTTACCGTGCAATTGTACTTGGGCAAGAGTCGGCTCACATTCCTTGCTGCTGAAAATATACTATTTAATTAACTCTCATCTCTCACTTTATTATAATTAAATTATATAAATAAATTACTGCTTTCGGTTGCAATTTCGCTGTCAAAAATTTATTGTTAATGTTTAGCTCTTATTGCGTTCTAAAATATTTACGGCGGTAGATAGAGATAAATTTTAACTTTTAAGTTTTGCATTAAGATTCAATGCACTTAAAGATAAAAGAGTACAAGAGTACAACAACAACAACAACAACATCAAGCCTTTATCCCACTACGTGGGGTCGGCTACATGAATCCTTTTTCTCCATTGTGTTCTATTAAAAGTCAAATTCTCATTTAAACCTAATAAAGAAAGGTCATTCCTAATATTTTCTAACCAAGTCTTTTTAGGTCTACCCCTACCTTTCTTAACATAAGTCAAATCATCCTGGACTGTCAGCTAAAGTCTGGCCTAATAGAGCGATTGTTTGGACGATATTCGACGATTTGAACTAATCCTACAAGATGATGTGGATGATCAGAACAAAAAAAACCTTCTAATCGTCCAGCCCTCCAAATCGTCTTAGCTGATTGAGCTGAATTTGTGTTGATCGTACAGGACGATCCGTCGATCGTCCAAGACGATCTTTGTCGATTAATTGCAAATTATGGCAAATTTAAAGCCCTTCTTTATAAGATCTCTTGTTTACTAAAGATGAGATCTATTACTGTGGTCCTGACCTGAGAGAGCCAAGAGGAGAGGGAGAGAAAGGGAGAGAGAGAGGATCTTGTGAGGAGTTTATAAGGGTTTCACAAAGGTTGCTTCAAGTAAGGATCCGCGTCTTCTCCAGCCGTCGTCCATGGTTCCTTGGAGGTTTTTGAGAGGTCTACTTTAGCAATTGATCAAGGTTCTCTGCCTGCTTCAAGAGGAAGAGAAAGAAGTTAGGTTCTCTGCCTGCTTCAGGAGGAAGCAAAAGGAGTTGGGTTCTCTGCCTCACCGGAGTCAGTGAAAAGGATGTTTGTATAGGCTTTTCCACCTTGCTGTGGGAGCAAAAGGAGAGTCACTTTGGTATAGTGCAGTATCTAAAGAGGGAGTCTTTAGGGAGTAGACATAGGTCTTGTTAGACAAAAATACTATAAATTTTTTTGTTTGTTTATTTTTAATTTTTACCACATTTTGAATTTCGTGCACTTTTAATTTTGTTTTTGAAAAATAGTTTTCTATTTTTTACAAAGATAATTTTAAACTTCCAATCCCCCCCCCCACCCCATCTTGGTTAACATACATGAACTTTTAAGTGGTATCAGAGCCTACTTTTAAAATTAAGGTTTAGACAATTTTTTGAAAATGATCATGTTTACTTTTGGAAATAGTAACACACCTGAAGGGTATTCGTCGCTAGAACCGCATTATTTGATAACATCCTTTTCAATTTTTGAAAACACGTATGTCTACTTTTCTGAAATCGCTTGATTATCTCCTGTGGATTTTAGTACAGGAAGGACACTCTAGGTTAACTAGATTTGTAGATGGCATTAAAACTAAAACACCATTTACTGACTGGATTGTAGAAGAAAAAGACATTATATAAATCACTAAAAGCTAAATGTAATAAGAGATAAAATTTTTATTGTAAAATACCTTGAAAAAGAGAAAAGTCATGGTGCCTTATAGTTGAAATGATTCAGTTAGTATTTATTGTTGATTATGAATGATGCCCTTTTTCAGGAAAAGTTAGCTAAATGTAGAAGATTTATATCATATAGAGCATATTATATGGTTGGAGTTGGAAAGAATTCAATAACATGAGAGTTGTTCAAGAAAATATTATTTTGTTCCTTTGGTTAGTAGGATTGTAGTGAGATGATGGTGGTCTGAGAAATGATGGTTGGAGGGTCGTAGTTTGGCGACACAAGTCGGAGGGATCATTGTAATTCTATGGAGGTCGTTGGGATTGGAGTCCGGCGATGGTGGTTAAAGGCTCGTTATCCATGAGCAATGTAGGCTGAAATAATCATGGTTAGGCGATAAAGGTCGAAGGTAGGAGAGATAGAGTTTAACGTCTTAGTTTTGCATGAAGATCCATCACACATATGGATAAAAAGAGATAGGTGTAAGAGTAATAAGTCATACTAGGATTCATACATTAAAAACCTTAAAAAAGAATTATGGGGTCTTGCCGAGTTAAAATGATTCCATTAGTAATTATCATTGATTACAAATGATGTACTTCCTTTGGGGAAGGTGATGACTTAATATAGTAAATATACATCATATAGAGTACATTAAATGGTTGGAATTGAAAGAATCCAATGATATGAGAGTCATTCTCTAGAGAATGTTAGCCTATTTTATTGGTCAGTAGTTATGTAGTTGGTCAACAATGGTCAGAGGGGTGCTATCAAGGGCAAATACAATTTTGTTATTTTTCCTTAAATATCATAACTTTAACCACTATATGTTTATGCATGACAAGATCACTAAAAGATTGTGAAGGTTATTAGACCTTTAAGAACTAGCCTGAGACTAACCAAGAGTGGGGAGGGGGTGAATTTATTATTTAAGAAAATTCTTTAGTGAAAAAGAAATTCTTTAAAAAAATTTCAAACCCACATATGATAATCGATAAAGTGGATACGAAAATGAGTAAATTTCACAATAATGAAATAAATACTATTTTTAACCACATATAATTGTAGAAAATAATCAAAATGAACACACCAGAATTTACAGTGATTCGGTCAACATTACCTACCTCTACTCCTTGGAGACTCCCTCTCCAAGTATTACACTAAATAATAGTGACTCTTCTTTTGCTCCCACAACAAGGCGAATAAGCCTATACAGATGCTGTTTCACCACCCCGGTGCGACAGAGAACCGTGACTCTTTTACAGGCAGAGAACCTCAACAATATTTTTACCCTCAAAGTGATGGTCAGAGAATCACAATATTATTTTCACCCTCTAGGTGATGGTTAAAGAACTACGACTCTATTTTCACCCTCCAGTTGATGGTCAGAGAATCACACTCTATTTTCACCCTCTAGGTGATAGTAAAAGAACCATGATCTTTGCTGAAGAACTTCTTCTTCAGAACCACAGACAATCCAGGTAGATGCTTGTAGATAGGAGTATTAGAAAACCCTAAGTAATGGGCTTCAAAAAATCATAATTTTCAAGATATTCATCTTATGTTTGTACTGTACGATGCACTTATTGTACCGTATAATCAGTGTAATTATAGAGGACGGCCAACTTCGTACACTGTCGATTGTCCAACACTATGGACATCATACAGTACAATCAATACAAAAATCATGGATTTTGTTTGGTATGATCTCCGGGATGATAAATTTCGTGCATAATCAATCGTATATTATTAACCATATTGTACAGTACGATCAGTTAGAATAATTTTTCATATTTTGATTGCCTGATATTGAGGGATTAATTAAGAAAATTTTTTATTAATTAGGGCGTACATTACAAATCAAATCATACTATGTGATCAGCACAAAATTATTATCTTTCTTAACTCTGAGGGTTAGGGTTTTGATAGAGAACAATAGATCGTATAGCACAAATTAAATTCGTCTAGTACAAAATAAGGTCATATAACACGAAACCAAAATCATATAGTATGATGTAAGAAAACTTTCTCAAAAATATTTTTTTCTCTCCCCCTATGTGTGTGTAAGGTTACTCAACAAAGATATCCATCCAACTATATGATACAACTCAAGAAAGGAAAAAATATAGAACAAAATAAAAATTGACTATAACCTTAGTCTACCTAGTCTTGAGCTGATCAGAATTGCATGTGAACGGTGAATTGATTTCCTAAAATGTTAGTACACAACAAAATAAAATATCACAGAAATAGGATAAAGTAGTAGCAAACACAATAATATTTATTATCATCAAAATCACAATGCTTGGATCCGATGGTGACTTATGAAATAGTGACTTTTATATATATGTGTTTTATCCTTGAGTGTTGGATTGGATTCTTTGAAATGCATATGGCACTAGTTTTATCACATAAGATTTGAATGGTGCCTACATGTAATCCTTAGTTCAGTATTTATTACTTTAACCAAAGGACTTGGTCCACAAAACTTCTTAAGGTTATGTATTCAACATCAATAGTGGACAGTGCAATTGAGTTTTATTTTTCACTAGATTAGGATACTAAGGATTGTGCTATGAATTGACATATTTCATAAATGCTTTTCCTATCAATTCTATATCCTACAAAATTTAAATCAAAATATCCTGTGATTTCAAAGTAATTGTTATGCCTAGCATATCAAATTCCTAAGTTTTAGGTTCCTAAGAGATATGTAAGGATTCTCTTTACAACAGTCAAGTGGGATTCTTTTGGATCAGCCTGAAATCTAGTATAGAGATAAACAACACTAAATATAATATTAGGTTTACTAGCAATCAAGTAAAGAAGTGATCCAATTATTCCTCTATATTTTTTTTTATCATTAGATTTTCTATTTAAATCCTAATCTGACTGAATTATGGAACTCATGGGAGTGCTTATTAGCTTGGCTTTATACATTTCAAATTTTTAAGTATGTCTTTAATGTATTTTGATTGAATAATAAAAATTTTATCATCCTTCTACCTTATACTAATTCTAAGAAAGTAGGTCATTTCTCTCATCATTCTCATCTCAAACTCCTTACTCGTTATTTTTAAAAATTCATCACAAAGATTTTTATCAAAAGATCCAAACAAAATATCATAAACATAAATTTGGATAATGAGTAGTTCATCTGCTTCCTTTTTTAGAAATAGGGTGGTGTCTACGCTCCCCTTAATAAAAGTTCTCTATAGTAGGAATGAGCTTAGCCTTTCATATCATGCTCTGGGTGTTTGTTTTAGTCCATATAATATCTTTTTTAATTTGAACACATAATTATGATATTATGAATTTTTAAAGTATGGGGGTTATTCAACAAATACATCCTCTTTTATTATCCCATTCAGAAAGGCACTTTTGACATCCATTTGGTATAATTTAAACCTCTTAAAGCTAGCAAAGGCTAGTAGTACCCTAATAACTTCCAATTTAGCTACAGGGACCAATGTCTCTTCAAAG